TCTCCCATGGCAACAACTACCAACGTTCTAACCCCTTAGGCGTTTGTCAAGCAAGAATGGCTGCAACAAGAGGTTACTGATACAAAGGTCCTGAAGATGTCAAGTGTTCACAATCCACGAGATTCCAAGTATTTTTTTTGGTTCAATTCCGGAAGATGTTTTTGTATTCCTAGTATACGTTTCGAGTTCAATTCCGGAAGATGTAAAATATTCCAAGTACCCGTTTCGGTTTCAATTCCGGAAGATGCCCATGTAGGGTTTGGACCTCCAATTCCGTATTCTATGTACTTTAGGATTGCTATAGATTTAACAGAAACACAACAAATGAGTGCCAAATCCTTCAAAACCGCTCCTCAACCACTTAAGGTCTTGGTGTTGTAGGTCCTATAGGTAAACTTGGAGGCCAAAAAGGCACTTGCCACCAAAGCAAGTGTTCACCGAGGTAAATCCCCGTAGAAACCTTGACCCAGCAAGTCCATGATTTTTCAGTCTTGCTTTGGTTTGTACAACGGGGAAGGGCTTGCTAGGGTCAACTGTTCTTTGAGGGTGTAAGAAGAACTGAGGGCCCTCCAGATTTCCATCCAGGTGAAAGCAATTTTGGTCACTAGGGTTGTTGTCGCTGTCCAGCCATCCGGTTTTGATTACTTGCACTCCCCTCTGATGGCTGATTCTTGTTTTTGCAGCATGATAAGGGGCATAGGAAACACAATTAGACATCTCGCACGCCAAGCAAGCCTCGTTAATATATGAATACCTCCATGTTTCTTCTCATATGTTGTGATTTTTTTTTGGCAAGTGTCCCTCCAACACCTGAGCACGCAAAAAACAAAAACAATAACAAAAAACAGCGGAAGAGTTTTTTGGGGGCCCATCTGAAAAAAGACAGTGTTCAGGGCTCCAGGTATACTGCAACTATATCAATCATGGGATTGCCCATAATTGCGTGAGTGGACATGCCCTTGTTGAATATATAATAATCCCGAGTACCTATTAATAAACACTCCCCAATTAAAAAAACACCACGTCCGAACCCCTAAATTCGGTTTATATTTGGTTTTAAATTGCCGCCCTTTCAAACCGCTACTAAACTACCAACATGGTCGATTTTGGGGGTAGTCTTTTTTATTAGGTTCCCCAAAACTCCACCATGACACGCCGCGCTTACACCAGCAGGCTTTCCTTCCCTCAATGGCACGGACTCACGCAAACGCACTTGCCACCGAGGTCATGCAACACCGCATGGCACAGCGACATCACCTTTTGAAAGCTTTAGCTGTTAGTCTACTGAAGAATCACTATTCTAATGAAGGTTTTTGTAGGGGAAAAGGAAGACCCTTCGATCTGGCGGTTTTTTGCATTTTTGATACGAGTTTAATAAAGGATTTTATATAACATTTTCCTGGATTACTTTTGTTTTGAAACTCTTTCCAGGTGACCCTATTTTGGGCCCGAGGTTTTTTTTAATAGGGGGGGGGCCCCCGTGTTTATTATTAGGAGGACGGGATTATAGATAGTGTTCCCTGCTTGTTGGTTTAAGTTGTGTCTTCAAACGCAATGTCAAATCAATAGCAACATGATGGTCCTGCGACTCGAGGCATTAGTTGGCATTTGCTTGTCGTGCAAGGCACAGGCAAGACAAAGACAATCACATCTTTGATTCTGGCATGCGCGGCGAATGGCGGCTTAGCTTGACTGATTCCTCACCATTGTCATTGGCTAGGCATTGCATTACCGCATCCTGGTAAGGTCAACGCGTTCTGACCTGTGGCCCGACCAACGTCGCCGCTCTTGAGATTGCGCAACGAACGTGGCAAATGGCCCGCCAGCCGGTTGTTTGTGCTTTTCAGCCACGTGGAACTCATGAAAAAGCAGGGTGAACCATCAAACATGCATGGGGCCAGTGCTCGTCCTTTAATTGCATGAATGTTGTGATAGGACTTTGTGCAAACTTTTCACGACCCGGTCAAGTGCCAGGTGCAACGCGGAGTTGCGCCGGGAAATGTCCGCAAAGCGCAGATTTGCATCGTGGCCAGCGAGGACTGCTTCACGTAGATAGGTAGACAATGATGGACAATTGAACCCCACAGGAGAATCCATGAGCATGTTGTCGAAATCATATCTGACAGTCTGAGCTCATTTAATGGGAAGGATCCCTGATTCAGCTCCAAGCAAATTGCGTGCAACGCGTTTAGATTTCAAACAGGTTGATCATTTGATGATCTTTTTTTGCAGGATCGTGTTGGGATCACCCTCGACCACCCGCTCTCTCCAATGATGCTCGACCATCGAAAGAAGCGTGTGAAACGTGTGGCGAAGGCCAGCTCTCTTGAATTTGGGATTTGTGCATCATGCATTCCCATGCAATCTTGGAGGTTTTGAACTTTTGAAAGGATGCTATGTTCTCAAACTGCAAAGCTGTTGCGGTTCTGAATTCTAGCGTAGAACTAGACTTTGTCACAACCTGATACCATTGCTAGCCTCCCCTGCTTGTCTCGGCTGTCATGACATAATTCCTTGCTTGTCTTCTTCATAATATGGTTGTTGCTTGTCGCATCAACACGCACTGTTGGTTTCTCTCGCTTGCTTCACTCGCACGCTGGAATGAAGGCATATTTTGCCTTTGCCAGTTTGGGGTTGGTGCCACTGGGTGCTTGTGGGATTGTCAACCTTTCAATGGGCCGCAGCGATCCAGGTGGGTTTCCGCGAGCTGGTGCCCATGCTGCGTGACATTTTGGAAAGACCACGGTGGTTCTTCCGACTTTGGCGAACCCTAGCCCTTAGGGGAAACAATGTCCGCGGCCCAGTGAGTCTGGGAACTTGTGCCAACTTTTTTACACCCTGCTGGTTCATCCCTCACATGACGCCTTCATGCAGTTGTATGCATGTTTAGGGGATGCAGGCCTCGGAGAGGCCTCACGGCTGTTTGGCGCTTGCTGGTGCTCACCGTTGTTCCGCACAATGGTTTGAAAAGATTGCCCTCAAGGCTTCATTGACAAATCAAGGTAACCCGCTACCGTACAGATCTCCTGTGAGGTATGCTTGATTGGGTTGACAATCGGAAGTCAGTATCGCTTAGGCAGAAGACATATATATATTATATATATACAGACATTCTCGAGGCCACAGCCCAGGGCAAGTAATCACTGTGATGATGTAGCCTGCAGCCCAAAGCAGAGGTTGGATGTCCGTAGGGGCTGAGCTTGCAAAGCTAACTGGACCTTGTGGGCATTTGCGCTCACGAGCTGAGGCTGAAACATGGGAGTCTATTGGTCCCAGAGTTGTGCAGACGAAGCCGGGCACTGAGGGTGTGACAACACCCGTGAATTAAGATTACATGATATTACAGGGTAATTTCCTTGTCAGCTTTCGGTCCCTGGCAGGAGAACATACAAAGAGATTGAAGACAGGCGCGATGGATGTCAAGCAGAATGTGACTGTTTCATGTGATACTGATTCGTGCTTGTGTCCATATGGGAACCGATGCGTGCATGGGCATTTTGTCACCAATGAAAATATACTGTGTGTAGTACACATATGTATAGATGCCATCAACTTTGATGGTAGGATTGGCGCGTGCGCACGCGCACACACACTTAGGAAATGCGTACTGAACTGAATGCCACTCGCCACACGGCAACCTAAGTGACCATTCCTAAGAGTACAGGTAAAACAATGGAGCGGAGTGCGACCATCGCGAAAGCTGAAATTCCATGAAATTCCAACATGCCAACATGTGAAAGCCTCCGAGTTGCGACTGCACGACAGGTGAGCTCATTTGCACTTTACTGCAAAACCGAAGCCAAAAGAGAAACTTGTTCTAGGCAAAAGCAGGGACCAGTAGCAAACGGAAGGTAAAACACAGGTACGCTGGGATGATCCAGTCCCAGTATCACCAGGAAAGCGAGAGTGTCACGTACAAATTCAAAGGAATCCCTGTGACACCAAGGGGTTCACACACACGCATCCCACGAGGGAGGCGCGGAGGGACCAAGGTCGGGACAAGTGTGCACGTGTACGCGCTTGGGAGAGCCGCAGCAAGCAGGCAACTAGTAGTTGGTCATAATTGGGCTCCACAGGTCCCAAATCACCGGTCCCCACTACATAGTCAGTTTGTCAAACAGGCACTGCACACGTTCCACAATGCGGTGCGCAGGCCTTACGATGAATTCCCAGCACCGGGCACTGTCCCTGATGACACGGACGAGGTGGCTTTCCTGTTTTGCGACTCCTTGCGGTAGCGATCAAAGACCCTCAAAAGTACTTCCCCGAAACACCCATGGAGCTTCAGAGATAGTAGGATTCTCTACTGCCTTCGTGTCAGTCAAGTGCGATTATTCCTATTCCTTGCTGCTGAGTATCTTTGAAGCCACCCCGCGTTTACTAGCGGCCGTGGTTTGTTCCCTGCCATGGGCAACCACGGGTGGACGCGAATGTTGCTTATGGGGTTCTGAATCAATTGGATTGGCTATTCGCGAGCAAAGACCCGATGAAACGTGTCGTTTTTCGTCAAGCCGAGCCAAGCCGAGTCAAGCTGACCAGGCCTTTCGCACCTTCCTGGCCACCCAGGCGTTCGAGGCCCGAGGACTGGGCGCATTGGACAAGAGAAGCAGGACGAAACTCAGGCAATTGTATTTTAGATGGCGTTTATGCAGCGAACTTCCCTTACCTGCAAGCAAGATCCATCAAGATCCAACAAGTACCATTGAAATACAACATGTTTGGCTTTCTAAAACATCTTATTTTGTCACTATCATTCAGTTGCCCTACCGAGCACTAACGTCTAAGCATGAACAGCTGGCTTGCACACACAGGCAAATAGAATTTCTGCAGCCAGTGTGTTGGGGTGGCTCATGCTCCAAGATTGAATAGCTTGGCGGTGCTTTTTGCTCTGGTGTTTGTGCCTTTGCAATTGATCCTGAAGAGCCTTGCACAGCTTGCTCAGAAATACACTGATGCCAACAACCGGGGATTCACTGTTTAATCCCTTCAGGAGTCCACTATACTATATTTAGATGAGTCATGATGAGTAGTGATGCGTCCGTTCTGTTTGGTGAGTTCCATGTCCACAAGCTGCTACCTGAAGTTCTTGCCCGCTAGGTGTTGGAACAAATTCTCCAGAAGCAGAAGGAGCATGAATTGTGCGAAGGGTGACTGCAACTGAATCTTTTCCTGCGAAGCCGGAGGACGACTTGACGACCGCAGTTGCACATTTGCCGCAGCACGTGCAAGATCAGGGTGGAACTGGCAATGAAGGCGTTGGGACCTCTTCTAAACATCCGATTTTTTTGCAACAGAGACTTGCAGACGTTCACCTTGGAGACGAGACATTTTTTGGATGTAATAATATGTGTGTAGTGTATGATGTTGTACCTGAGCTGCCTTTTCGTGCAGGGGGCGAGGAAAGGCCCTCCGAGCTCATGCAGCAATTGGAAGACCTCCAGCTGCTTTGCAACGATTGCGCGGGGACAGGGGCACCTCAACCCCCCTGAATGATAATGGGCTTGCATTTCTTTAGGGCATATACTGTAGATTGCCTGGGCTGAACAACGCGCCCTTCGGCTGTTTGACGCTTGCCATTCAGAAAGAGGTAGAAAGGGCCCTGGAGATGGAACACAGGCCAAGCCCTGCAGAAGGTTATTTGCATACCATGGATTGCCATGGGCCATGAAGTTTCTTTCCTTCCATACCGACTAGATGGCATTGCAGAAGTTGCGTTGAATGCGTATTGTTGCCCTAGGTATTTCTTGGATCGCGTCTACCAGCAGATCAAGGCAAGCTTGACACCTCCTCGGAGTTTGCAGACTCTTTGATTGAGATTTTTTCTCAGATTTCAATCACTAGAGCCGTGGATGTAGGTACTTGAGGGACTGATTTGTTTCATGGACCGTGCGCAGGCTGTGCGAACTGCTTTGCAAAGAGGAACAGTTCCGGATGAGACTTGCCCCAAGGGCCCCAGGGTGGAACGCAAGGTCCAAAAAAAAGGAAGCATCGGGGCAGTGGATGGCAGAGGAGTCAATAAAATAGATAAGCACAGAACGAACAGAATTGAGAACACAGAAGGGAAGGAGTAGTATATAAACCATGTTGAAATAAACATCAGTTCTGTGAGTCTTGTTTGCTCACACAGGTTTCCAGTAAAGGCATGTGGAATGGATATCGTGTCCCTGCATCGGAGCACGATAAGTACAATACTCTTTTTTGGGGGGGACTTGAGTGACTCAGCCCGGTGAATCCCTAGTAGCATCCTTTGCTCCTAGTAGTAAGGCCAGACTCCCAGACACCCGTCACCATGACGAAGGGTCTTGGGAAGCGGCAGGACTCGTCCGCAAGTGGTGTGAGTAGTAAGGCCAGGAGCCCCTAGTAGCGTCCTTGCTACTAGTAGCGTCCTAAAAGGCCGGTGGTTGTGATCCCAAGCTCCTGGTTTTGTCTCGGGATGTGCCCAGGCTGATGACGAAAATCCTTGGGCCAACTTCGAAGCAGCGCACGATCTGCAAAGGGCGGTGAACGATTGGAATGTCGCCTGCCACGAGGCGTGGGGAATTCAATCAGAAAGACCGCTGAAGGACTGAAGGACGGTGAAGAGCAGTTCTCCGTTTTCCTAGCCGTTTGGAGCCAAAGCCAGTTCTTATCAGTATGCGCATGGACTGCCAAGTTATCTTTCAAGTGATTGCAATGCGCATAGTGACCTTGGACCTGCAGCCGGACCAGGTGATGAGCTGCTATTCTGAAGAATTGCGAGATCTCATCCTTCAGGGTGCACAGGTGATTTTTTCGACAACAACAGTTGGAGGACAAACGGACAAACTGCTCATGCTAATCTCAGGCATTTGATGTCACAGATCGCAGATGTTACGGGTTCAAGCCGTGCTTTGTGCTCCTCAGCGATGGCCTCCAACCTGATAGCGATGGCCTCCAACGGCCTCCTACTCTGTGCTGTGCTTTGTGGTCTTGTTTTGTTGTTTGTGGGGAGGACGCGCCAAACTGTGGCGACAGCGGATCCCAACAGCTCTTGAGCTGAAGTGAGACACATCCCATAGCTGAAGATGCTGAAGCATGTTCGAATTTTGCACAGCAGGATGCAATCACTAAGATTTGTCGTTTGGACACATGAATTCGACATTGACCCATGCGTATCCATGTCTCACAGCACGTGGCCTTCCTATGACTTTGTTGTTTTCCTGTTGCAGCGCTGCCTCATTCTTTGTAAAAGTGATCAGCCTTTCATGCATATGCAGTCTTCAGTGCATCCATCAGTCCATTGTGGTCCATTAATGTTGGCTACTGTGTTGGCTAAGGTGATTGTGGATGAGGCATGTCAGTGCCGCGAGCTAGAAACAATGGTTGCCTGAGGCCCAGTCACTTGAGAACGGGAGAAAGGCTACGACTATATACTTACTCAATGTGCTCTGTCAGAGTGCGATAAGCTGGCATGTGGAAAGACAACCAAGTCACAGTTTGATCTGGTATGGCCGTAGGTTGCCTGAGGCACCTCCACATGTGCTTCTGTTACTCTCAGATGTTACTTTACTTACTTAATACTTGTTTGTCAAGGTTATTTGAATTCAGATCTTGTGCTTGGCCAAGTCAATTTGTTTTCATGAAATCAATATATACAATCTGTTGCCATTATTATCAATTATTCGGACTATCCACCATACTCACCAGACTGCCGAGCACCGGCTCAGGTCATGCGCAGACATGTGCAGCGGTTGATTCTGGTCGGCGACCCGGAGCAGTGACTTGGCCAACCTCGGTGCTTGTCACGAAGGCGAGCTATGTGGCGGAGCGGCCTAAAGTTAGCTTGAGATCTTAGAGGGTGAGCAATAGAAAGACGGATCCTACACCTATACTGATACTACTAGTTATATACCACTGCTAGTGATTAGTAACTAGTACTATCATGCACTATTTGTATGCATCCTTCTGAGCAAGTTCTCATGTGGTGCCACACTTCCACACACTTCCACACACTTCCTGGCCCCTGCGACAAGAGGCAGAGAGAGAGAGAGGGGGAGCATGAGAGAGCAAGTGAGCTGTACAATCACGGTGCTCACAACTAAAAAAATTGTATTCATCGCTTGGACTTGGGCTCGTGGCTCTTCATTGAGAGCAAGTGTCTAGGTGAAGGTGTCATCACTGACATATCAAGAGCCTGCAACCTCATGGCGACCTAAGGCTGCCATCCACGGTCTTTTCCAAGAAGGCGTTTGGAGCTGCACTGTGCATATCATGCCAGATTCTTCCTGCCGAGCGCGTTTATATAATATAAATATATATATTGTATAAATATACTATATTTTAAGATTTCTGACTATTATTGCTCCGGATTGATGAGGAGAATCTCAAAGGTGCTTGCTTAAGCGTGCAAGTAGTGCACCATGATTTTTACATGTTATTTTCAATAAGAGATAAAAGTTGGTGTGATTTTGCATGGGAGAGCTTGAATGGTTATTTTTGGACATCGGAACAATTGGGTTAGGTTCACTCTCCACTGGGTTAACTAGCCAGCCGAGGGTTTCTCAGGCCAAAGAGATTGGCTTCGACCGATCCCTCTTTGAGCGATTGATGATCATCGGCAAGGAGAAACACACCTTGGCGAGACAGCTGCATGGCCAATACGGATTGTGATTGCGATGGGCACTTTCAAGCTGTGCAATTGAATTAGAATCAGGGCTGCGTGTGCGGACCTTGAGCCTTTTCATCAATGTTTTCGTGCTTAATTGGTTTGCCAGATTTAAGATTCGCACCCTTTTGTGCAAAACTGGTGGTTGTGGTGCGGGCCCTTGCTTAAGAATGGGTTGAGGATTAGTTTGTCCTATTCACCTCCTGGAGCTATCAGGGTGCAGATGTAGCTTGTTTAGGTACAAGACGGTGGGATCCTACAGTCAACTGTGACTACTCGTAGTTTTCAACACCGGCCGCAGGAAACCATGCAGGGAAGGCCCCAATGTGCACTCTTTCCATAAAATTCGATATCAGAACTGGATGAGCGCCAGAATTGAATGATTTGTGTTTTGTTTTCTATGATATCTTGATCTGATAGAGGTGACATTTTTGGCCGTCCAAGCCAGCTTGGGTCTAAGCATAGCAAGTAAGACCTGTGTGCAGCGGGCTGTTTAGCTCCCTTTTTGCGGTGCAGCCTTTGCAAGAGGTGCCTTCAGGTGAATTTTGTGGCCACAAAGTGGGTTTGGCCCAAGGTACAGAATGCTGCCTTTGATCGCGGACTTCCCGCACCTTGGCAGATTTTGCTCCTCACGCATCTCAAGCATGTTTGTGTCATAGCGGATCTTGTTCTAAAGGAGATGCTTTTTTGACAAAGTCAATGGAGGTGTGGAGTTTGCATGAGTTCATTGTGCTTGGCGGAGTGGCCACAGATGGCTGACATGTGTAGCACTACCTTGCTTCCATGTCGGCTAGGTGAAAAGTTTATGACCGTTGCACAGTATATTTGTCATCATGAATCATAGTTCAGAGCTCGAGGAACAGCGCATTCTACAATGGCGAGGTGGTCAACGATGACGCCAAGCTGCAGTCACAACACCTACCAAGCCCCAGAACCCCCGTACAATTTCACCTAACAGCGATGGCCTCCAACCTACAATTTATACAACTTGCAGCATGTGTCAGATTCAGACACTGACTGGCCCACTCCCACATCAGATACGGCTTCACAGGAGACTGTGCTGCAGATGGAGCGCAGAGTTCAGGAGTGGTGCAGTGTTTGAAGCAGGGGCTTTGAGCTTGGCACAGAATTGTAGCATGTCGTAGCAGAACCGTATTGCAGCTTGTCGTAGCTTGTGTCTCACTCACTCACTCACTCACTCACTCACTCACTCTCTCTCTCTGTCTCTCGTTCCCTCGCTCCCTCCCTCCCTCCCTCGCTCCCTCGCTCACTCGCGGAAGCATACAAGGTGGTAATGCACCAGTTTTTTCACTGATACCGATGCATTTTAAGATGGCCTGGGGTGGTGATGTGAGCATTGGGGGTCGTATTCATTCCTTTTGTCAGGGATTTGCACTACAGCGTTTCTTGAGCTGAGAGTGTTTGATTTGTTTCTCACGGCCATGCAAATTTCACGAGTCCAAAGGTTTTTTTCTGCTAATTGCCTTGTTGATTGTCTGCTATTTGCTGACATGAGCGGGATGGAGTTGTAGGACTATATCTATGCGCCTGACGACAAGTGGAATTTCCACACGGCCATCCGAGACGCGGCTGCAATAGGGAATAACCGATCCATGTTTGTCTACTTGTTTATGTAGATAGTAGGGTGTTCTCATATGAACTCATGACATATGCTTCCGAACTGTTGCACGGATTCCATGGCAAGATAGACTGCTGGCCACGAGGCCATAGTTGTTTTGCGTTCACTTTTGCAAGACGTGAGCACAGCGAAACTCTTTTAAACCAGTCGTGCGATGATGATGATGATGATGATGATGATGATGATGCATAATTGAAGGAATTAGTGTACCAGTGCACGAGCTTGATGGTAATGTAAAAAAAAGCTAGCCATGGCTGATGGCATGAAACAGCCAGCCACCATGCAAGTGTTGTGACATCGACATGTCGATACATGTGCGGGGATTTGGCGATTTGGTCTGGGTTCTGCACTGCACTGCACGCTGTTTTGAGCCCAGGCCTGTATGACACAGGGCCTGGAGATTACGAAAAACAGGATTTTACCAATGTGGCAATCTCAAACCCAGAGGAGGCTGATCAAGTGCCCTGACAGGTGATGGGTGGATTCATTGGTCGCACATGCAGGTGTGAGGTGGATAAACCCAACCCCCTCCAAGAAATACGAAGAAAGATCCGTGTATATCCAGTATTTTCCATAATTGCATCATGTACGGATTCAGCAACAAAGTTAAGGAGCTCCTGGATGCTGCCTGGAATTGGTCTTGCTGTAGCACTTCTTAGCAATGGTGTATGTATTCTTTGGGTGGATTGAAATGGGCTGCCGCGGAGTCTTGTACCTTTTGTTGGCATCCCTTAGGAAAAAACGCTGAACAAGCAGCACTCCAATGGTCATTTCGCATATGTTTCCCAAAGAACCAGGTTTTTCTGGGGTGGGCAAGCCAGCCATTGTGAAATGAGCTACTGTGGTTGAACTTGTGTTCTTGGAGGGGCATCTATCTACACTTTCTGTATAATTACAGTGCAACTTCTCGCTGCTGGCTCGCGGCTCGAATCTGCTGGGCCATTTGGCAAGTGGCCACTTAACTTGCTTGAGCTCAGTCAGTCATCAACAGCCAGCAAAACTCTTCAGCCATCAGATGGCCTGCAAGATTGACAACATGTCGCAACAGTCACAGGGAGGCATATTCAACATTGGGTGCAAAGATCAACCTGATGTGAGCCAAATCAGCTCAGACCACCCATCTTGGCCTTGCCAGTTCCAATTCCAGGCCGTGCTGTGGCCGCCAGGCTGGGAAGAATTCACACGTACCGGAAGACATGAAGTAGAGGACATATTGACATATTGCTTGTCCAAGGGCGCGTTCACCCCTGCCTGCGGCCAGTTCTGCCGGTGGCCGCCCAAGTGTCCACGTGCATGTTCAGTGCATAATTATAGCCGAGCAAAGGTGTCGCGAAGTGACCATTTGTGCCGTGAGCACGGGCAGGTTCTCCATGAAGAAGGGCCCGAATAAAGCGGCCAATGCGGGTCCAGTACACAAAGAGACGACAATGTCCGTTCAGGCATGAGATTTTGTCGTGGTCAAAGGAAGTTTGGGGTGCAAAACTTCCGTTTTACGGAATGTCAAAAGCTATTACTACCACCACTACTACCACTACTACTACTACTACGACTACTACTACTACTACTACTACTACTACTGTACTACTACTACGACGACGACGACTACTACTACTGTACTACTACTACTGTACTACTAGTACTGTACTACTACTACTACTACCATACTGCTACTACTACTGCTGCTACTACTACTCCTACTACTACGACTACTACTACTACTACTACTACGACCACTACTACTACTACTACGACCACTACTACCATACTGCTACTACTACTACTACCACCAGTACTACTACCACCACCACCACCACGACTACTACTACTCCTACTCCTACTCCTACTACTACTACTACTACTACTCAGCCTTAGCTCCAGTCTCCAGTCAGCTCTAGCTTTAGTTAGCTCTAACTCCAGTCAGCTGTAGCTCTGGTCAGCTCTTCAACATTCATTTTGGAAGGAAGTCTCGTACAAAATGCGTGTTCGAGAGATAGCGGACGCACGAAATGCTTTGTTTGTCAATTAATACAAAGGGAACTACAAAGGGATACAAAGGGTGGTTCCGAACCCGGCAAGGCTAGCTCTGCGGAACGATGCGCTCGCGTCATGCTCGGATCATGGTCGAATCGTCCCTCCATTGTGATTAGAATTTTCGCTTGTTTCTTGAAGTGCAGATTTCGTGGCAGGCACAGCACTTGGTGAACCTCGAAGTGCCGATTTCGTGGCAGGCACAGCACTTTGTGAACCTCGAAGTGCCGATTTCGTGGCAGGCGCAGTACAAAATGCGTGTTCGAGAGATAGCGGACGCACGAAATGCTGTGTTTTTCAATACAAAGGGATACAAAGGGTGGTTCCGAACCTGGCAAGGCTAGCTCTGCGGAACGGCGGTTGCGGAATGGCCTCGGATCATGGCCGAATCGTCCCTCCATTGTGATTAGAATTTTCACTTGTTTCTTGAAGTGCAGATTTCGTGGCAGGCGCAGCACTTTGTGAACCTCAATGTGCAGAATTTCGTGGCAGGCACAGCACTTGGTGAACCTCGAAGTGCCGATTTCGTGGCAGGCGCAGCACTTGGTGAACCTCGAAGTGCAGATTTATGCAGATTTTTTTTTGGCAGGCACAGCACTTGGTGGTGAAAATCGAAGTGCAGATTTCTCTGCAGGCACAGCACTTGGTGAACCTCGAAGTGCTTTTTCCCCAATGCGTAGCGAAGGGTTCTCGTTTAACTCTTGGGGGTCTGGGGGTAGAGCCTTGTTCGCGATCCGTTGTTTCTACGTCCGCAACCGTTCGCAACCGTTCGCGGTAGAGCGCTAAGGCGCTGCCATTGGGGGAAGCTTTTGCAAGTGACTATTCATGGATGTGTCACGTGTCAGTTTGCGGCGCTATTCCATTGTGATTTGCATGAAAAAGACATGTCGCGCAAGCAACGTGATGCGTCTCGCTGCACAGGCGCAGCGTTGGTGAGATCTGCAGATTGCTGGGCAGTTCCATTGGGATTAGCGTTTGGAGAGTCGTGTTTTTGGGGTGTTGGATGTGGCCGTGTCATTAGGATTTGCGTTTCAGGGTGTGGCATCGAAGCTCTGTTTTCGTGACAAGTCTCAGCTGAAATGCCGATTTTGGTGGATAGGAGTGTGCTCAGAACGGGTCGAAATCACTCCAAACGTGTGGTGTGGTGCAAATTTTGTTGAAGCTCACGTGAGATGACATTGTTACTTTTCGTGGCAGGCGCAGGACTTTGTGCGGGTTTTGAGGTGTGGAAGTGGGATTTTCGTGGCAGGCGCAGGGAATCGTGAGGTTGCGATGTGTGACAGAGGTGACATTTCGTGGCAGTACTTTGTGCGCGTTAGACGTGTGGACGCGGAAAGATTCGTGGCAGGCGCAGGGAATCGGGAGGTTGTGAGTTGTGGTAGAGGTGAATGTCGCTGTCACATTGAGATTGGCGTGTGAGCGGGTGTCGTTTGGAGGGGCTGGAATCGCGAAACTGCTTGGCAGGGCTGCGTGATGTGTGTGCTCCGATGGGTGTTTCCGCTGGACTTTTGGAGGAAATCTCGTGCGAAACGTTCGTTTTGCAGAGTTTGACGTGTGAGTTTTTGAGGAAGTCTCGTACGAAACGCTCGTTTTGGGGACTTGACATGTGACTTTTGGAGGAAGTCTCGTACGAAACGCTCGTTTTGGAGACTTGACGTGTGACTTTTGGAGGAAGTCTTGTACGAAACGCTCGTTTTTGAGACTCAGAGTGTCCTACAAGAGTGGGACCACAAGAGTGTCCTACAGGAGTATCCCACAAGAGTGTCCTACAAGAGTGTCCCACAAGACTTTCCCACAAGACTTTCCCGTATGAGTGTCCCACAAGAGTGTCCCACAAGAGTGTCCCGCATGTCCCACAAGAGTGTCCTACAAGAGTGTCCCACAAGAGTGTCCCGTATATGAGTGTCCCACAAGAGTGTCCCACAAGTGTGTCCCACAAGAGTGTCTGACAAGAGTGTCCCATAAGAGTGACCCACAAGAGTGTCCTACAAGAGTGTGCAACAAGAGTGTCCCGTAAGAGTGTCCCACAAGAGTGTCCTACAAGAGTGTCCCACAAGAGTGTCCTAC